GGGGTCGCCCGTGGGTGCGGCTCAGGAGCGCGTCCCCGCAGCCCGCCTTCCCCGCCTGTTTTCCAGCCGAGCGCTCGCCCTAGCCCACGCCGGGAGGGAGAGGCGACCTCCTGGGGAGGAAGATGAGCGAGTGGGAGAGGGTGTTCCTGCAGAACCTCGCCCTTCCTCCGCACTGCCAGCGGAGACGGACTCGCCCGCCGGGCTCCACGGCTTTCCGCTGTGTCCTGAAGTGCCTGGAAGGGGCTGCCCTCACCCAGGTAGGGGGGACCCGGCTCCGCGGAGGAGAGCCCAGCAGCGTCTTCTTGCTGAGCCCTCGGTTTCTGCCCGCCGCCGTTCCACGGTGCCGCCGGGATTTGCTGTGTTCGTGGGCCAGAGCCCATAAAGGCGGAGGTTTTGGAAGCAAGGTTACTTGTTTTGAGGGGGAACTAACTGTAAATCTCTCGGAAACAGAAATCGGAGCCGTGTCTCAATCCCATGTGTTTTTACCTGCAAATCTGAGTTAGCATTTAATTCATTTTTAATTTAATTTTTGTTAATTTCTAATTTAGGTAAGCGTCTTAAAATACCTGGGTAGCACTTTAAAAGTCTGCTACCCCTTTATTATATGCTTAATATTCAGTTTTCCCACTTCGGCTTTGCTTGTTCAACCTCTGGCTTTCAGAAAGGTTCTCCAGCAATGCACGAAGCTGTACGCGGCCGCGTGCCCGATTTGGGCATCAATCAGAAAAATGGGAATTGTTTGTCCTCTCTCACTGAAGTGTGTTTTCTGCAGTTTGGGGCCACTGAGCTGGCGTGCCCCTGAGCGGGCCCGAACGCCGGCGCCTCCCGTCCTGTCGTGCCTTGCAGGGAGCCGAGTACCAGCTGCGCCTCTCCCTTTTCGACGCCACCTACCACCACTTCTTTGGGAGGACATGGAGGAGCGGCCAGCGAGCTGCCCGCGCCGCTCCACCGCGCCCGGCCAGGGCGGCTTTCAACGAGGTAGGGTACTGGGGGGCTGCGGGCGGGCAGGGGAGCGTCCCTGCCGGCTGGGTTTGGGGGGGCGGCAGCCCCCCGGGAAGGGGCGGTGAGATGCTGGGGACGGGGGGGTTGGCAGCGATCCCACGGGAAGGCGGCTGGAGCTGCAGGAGCCAAGTCTGAGGAGGGAAGATTTTAATGCACGAAGGGAAAGGCTGTCTTTGCTCGAGTTCAGCCTGGAGCCACTCTCCTTTGGTGCTGGTTTACCCCGTCAGTCTGGTGGAAGCGGAGCTCAGAGAGCTCTGGGAGCCTGCCATCAGCACGCTGCGGCCGTGAGCCTTTTAAAGCAGCAAGTCCCAAGCGTGCGTGGGCTCTGGCCCGTGGTCTGCCTGCCTGCTGCTGAGCCTTGTCTGTGGCAGTTTGTTCTCCTGCACGCAGGCAAACAGCAGCAGCAAACCTTTTTCCCTTCCGGCGCTTCCCGATCCTTCGCCCAGGGTGCACCCCAGACGCTGCCCAATTATTAAGCTCTTACGTACAGTTTATTGGAACGGGGAAATTGGGGTCTTGGCTTACCTCCGGGGCTGGGTGACGGCGCGGGAGCGGTGGTGTGCCGCTGTGTGCCGCCTGCTGTGTTCAGAGCTGGCGGCAGAGAGCAGTGTTTCTTCACAAGTGGGAAGGAAGGGAAGGAGCAGCCGCCCGCCCTCCGGCACAGCACTTTTCTCTCCCCACCTGGGAACCAAACTCTTCCAAAGCCATACTTCCATCCGCTGCTGATACCGGCAAACCGGGGTGCCCCCTTACTGGGGAGATCCTGCTGCCCCGTAGCGTGGACGACAGCCGAGATGTCACATTTTCTAATTAAACTTTTGTTTCCACCTTCTCCGGTGCTCTGTGCTCCGGATGAAGTGTAGCACTGATTAGAGCCGCGCTCCTTCATTTATTTAAATCGGTAGTGGTATCTGAGGGGCGTTGATGCGTGCATTTCTTCCACAAGTGTTTTAATCACCGGCTGAACTCTGCTATTTTGAAGAGGGACGGAGAAAAAACTATGGCAGAGAGTCCCGCAGCGAGAAAAACGTGGCGCTGCCCCCCACCTCGCCAGACGCTGGGTGGAGCTGCCTTTTCGAGCACCATCCCTACCTCTGCAGGCTTCCTGGGTGTTTGACATGCGGCTGGGAGCAGCTGGCAGGAGCTTCGGGGTGTTAGGGGACTGCATCTCACAGCCTCTCTGCAGTCGCTGAATTGCATTGCCTGTCCCCTGCAGCCTGCCCTGCACGCTCACGGTGCAGCCGCAGTGCTCGGGCTCTTGCAAAGGCGACAGGGCAGAGGAGAGGCTGTCTGTGGGCGTGATGCGACCGGCTGCCGTCGCGGCTGAGCGCTGGGATCTTTTTATGTTCTTTTTATTCAGCAGTTTAATGTTGCGAAGAGTTGAGGTACAGGCGCAATCGCATTGTGAAAGGTGAGGAGGAAAGGCACTGCTCCTCGCGCAGGAGGAGCCGCGGGACCTGGCAGCGTGTGGGGGCATTGCATCCTCTGCCTGCGCAGGCCACGTGCTGGGCTTCTGCGTGTCCGTGCTGCCTGCACGCTCGCCAGCCTCACCGGAGGAGGAAGGCGCGTGGGCAGGGGACGGGGTCCGCGCGTGTGGCGGGTCAAGGTGACCCCTGTGCTGCATCATCCTCATAGGGTTTAGGGGCGAGGAACGAGCTGTTGCAAAGTGTTGTTAGCGTTCGCAGGGGGAACAGCAAGCCTGGTTTTACGAGGGATCTGCTTTAAGGGCTCTCTGTGTCTTTGCAAGGCGAGGCATCGGTCTGCAGCCAGCGGTCATTATTTCAACGTTTTGCAATAAAAGATAATAGAATAATGATTTATTTCCCTGGGTTGATGCGGTAATGTCTCTCTCTGTTATCCCTTCCTGACAGCCTGTGATTACGGTAAACGTTTTCCCTGGGACACCGTGGTAATGAGTTTTTAATAGAAAGATTAACCTAGCTTTAAATCCTGTCCCGGGGAGGTGACCTGTGTCCTGTCCCCTCCTGCCCCCAGGTCCGGGCCACCTCCCTCTCCCCTCCCCGCGGCAGCAGGGTTTCCAGCTCCTTTGGCTTTCCCAGTGCGGGGCTTGCTATAATGCTGTAGGTCAGGGGCGTGTCAAAGCCCCACTCTTACGGGGCCTGCAGCCTGTGAGTTACTCTGGAAAATGGGTGTTAGCAACAAAAAAAGGAAAAAAAAAAAAAAGTTAATGATGTTTGAGATTTAAGGAGGTTGAGATTTCCGAGCGGTACCGGAGGTCGTTTGCCATGAGCTGCTGTCTGGAAGTTTCAGTGGATATTCTGGTTGTGCCGCTGGCTGTCCAAATGCGACAGGTATTGCTCTGCCTGCAGCTGCCGCCGCCAGCTCTGAAATACCCTTTCTCTCTCCTTTCCCGTCCCAGACCGTTTACTTCCACACCTCCTTGAACCACCCCGGCATCGCTGCCGTCGTGGAAGTGGTGGCAACGGTTGGGAAAGGGGATGAGGGCTCTCAGCATGTCTCCTGCGGCTTTGGACTCATCCCCCTCTTTGGCAGGGGATCGGAGGCGACGGACCCGGCCGCTGAGGACAGAGTGTAGGTCCCCCCACCGCCGTGTGATGGGGCATGCTGGGAATCGGGGTGGCAACATGCACGGCTGCTTCGGGGGGAGGAAGGGTGGTCCTGGGGCTGCAGAAACAGAGCCAGCATTTAGAAACCTGGAATTCTTCACTGCTGGGGAAGCAGCGATGGGTTTGTACGTGATGCCTGTCCTTTCCCTAAAGGATAGGGTTTTTACCGCGGGTACAGAGTAGGAAGGTGGTTTCTTACTGTTGAGCAGAGGCACTGTGGAAGGTGCAGATGTGCTTCAGGGTGGATTTACTGACCACTGCGCGTGTGCTCTTTGCTTTCAGACTGAAGCTGTACCACGGGACGCCGCGCGCCTTACTGCACCCGCGCTTCCAGGACCCTGTGGAAAGTAAGCAGCAGCAAGACATCGTGTCTCGCTCCTTTCTTGGCGGCCTCTCCTATCCGAATGGGTACTGTGTGTGTCTGGTCGATGTGACATGTGGTCTGTGCCCTGGTAGTGCTAAGCGGACGTGCCTTACTGCCAGACGGGAAAAGCCTGGCTGGGCAAACCCAGGTTTTCCTTTGCTCCCAACACATGTGTTCGTGGATAATGATTTCTTCAACAGTGGTGCCGTGAAGCTGTCTCCCCCGGTTTTGGTCATTTCGGGATGTTTTCTCTTCTTCAGAGAACAAATACCTGACGGTGATGGAGAAGAGCCACCTGCAGTACGCCCTGAAGCCCTACCAGCCCCTGGAGATGATATTTCACCTCCTTCCTGAAAACCTTCTGATGTCTGGGCTGCAGACCGTTCCCGGCTTGCTGCCAGCGCGCGGAGATGCGAGTAAGGGCTCCTTCTCTTTCTCTGCTCTGTGTCGCTCCGGTCCCTGGGGAGGCTGCGGGCAGGGCACTGGTATGGGGCTTCTGGGAGCACCGACGGGTTCTCTGCAGCGCTGCCCCTTGGCAAAAGCATCTCCCCTGTGCGGGCCGGTGGGGCGGCAGCCCTTGCATTCATAGCTCAGCCTTAAAGAGGTCAAAATGACTTCAGTCTGTTCCCCATCCGTTAATTGCTTCGCTCCTGGGAAGCTGCTAGGGATAACTGATGGTTGGTTTAATTACAGTCGTTCAGTGGAGCCTTAGGAGAAGCCCTTGCAACTTGTTTAAAGTCGTCGTCCTCGGTGGCGGGGCTCAGAATCGCTGGGGGTCTGGCAGGTTTGGGGGGGATGAGCTCCTGCATGCTCAGCCCTCGTTAATCTTTCCCTGTGGGTAGCAGCCTTGCCGTTCAAGCTGCTGCAATTAAAATTATGTGATCTGAAGATTCAGAAGGTAGAATACTCTCAGTTCTGCAGCTGAATTATTCTTCAGCTTACCGCCTGGAAAACCCTACTGCTAACCATTTTGGGGGTTGTAACTGTTAATGTTAAAGCTGAGCAAGGTCTGCAAAGCAGCCGAGTCCCTGGTGCTGCTGAGACCACTGCTCGAAAGCAAAAGAGGGGAGAGCCAGTGTCTTGCACTGCATGTGCCGGGGAAGCTGGGGATCCCACACATGACCACGACCTCTCCCCGGTGCTGCTTTCGGCTCAGGTCCGGCAGCAGGTGCCCCTGCGGTCCTGGCGACCTTCCCCCCAGCTGTGGCGTGACTTGTGGCCACCACCTTGTCTTTTCAGGTGACTGCTTGCAGAAACCCCGGCTGATGAAGCCGGTCACCTGCTACCTGGAGAGGCTGTCGGTCCAGCTGTACCCTTCCTTGGAGGAATTTGAGGAAGAACTGCTGGACTTACTGAACAGCGATCGCTTACTTAAGGTAGTGCTGATGCAGTTATGGCAGGGAAAAGCACAGTGCGCGAGCAGTAATGCCGGCGCTTTGTTTTTGGGCAGAGCGGAATGGTTCAGATAAATGTTGTCTGTTTCACTTGGAGTCTCTGATTTTTTTGCTGTGCAAGCCTTTTGCTTTACTGCTGGATTAGCGCATAGATGCTCCGTGTTGGGTTTGTTTTGAACATCCAGACACTAATAAGCAGAATTTGGGTTTGCTCTGCTATGGAAAATCCAAAGATAAGATGCAGTGCTCATCGTAGTACGTCTCTTTAGGAACGGCAGCGCTTGGTGCGCAGTAAGGACCGCTGGCCAAGTCCTTCTTCATTTGCCAGATTTGCACCAACTCTGCCATAAAGATGAAAGATTTTAGTATCCATCAGCTGCTGGGGGGTGGGTCCTGGTTTTTTGAGTTTCTGATGGGTTGCCTGAATTTTCCTGGCGGCGGGTGGCACAGGGAGGGATGCTGAGCCACCTCGTGCCGCCTCGCTGCCTGAGCTGGAAAACTTGCCTGTTGCAGGCTAATGCTGCGCCGGACGGCAGTGGGGTGGTGGTTCGGGAGCGACGGCTGCATGTCGGCGTCCACAATGGCCTGCGCTTCGTCCAGGTGCCACAGGTGGCCGTGCTGGTGCCGGAGGCAGAGGTGGCGCGGGGTGGCTACCCGGGGATGCCGGGCTCCGGAGCCAGGTAAGGGGGAGACCCTCCGGCACCACCGGTGCTGCTTTTCTCCTGCCTTGGGCGCTGCCCACAGCCGCTTCTCCATCCTGGTGCAGGGGTGCAGGTCAAGCCCTGGTCCTGAGGAGCCGCATCCACCTGAGCGAAATGGTCCCTCACCCAGCGTTTGGGGTCTGCTTCCAGCTGGAGTACGTCTTCTGCGCCACGGGGAGAGCCGACGGGAAGGTAGGGCTGAGTGTGCATGCACCTCGTCTCCGTCCCTTATTAAAGAGTGGAGATCTGCCGCTGGGGGAGCGAGCCCTGCTGAGTAACTCCATCCTTTGCCCCCACTTCACCGTCCCGCACCCCCAAGATGCAGCGGCTCCTCGTCACACGGCTGCGCTGCCTAACGAATGGCCCCGCAAAGTGTGCAGGTGCTTTCCGCAGCGCTGTGCAAAATATCCTGCAAATGGGCTTATTGAATCATTTTAATTATATGTGGTTACATTTCTCCACCGTGTATTTGTATATGGAGAAATGTAGCCTGCAGCAGTCCCATAGTGTTCTGGCAAGCTAATTTGGAAAATCTCAGCTTTTTTTAATTTAAAAAAGGCTTTTCTTTCAGAATTTAGCATTTATGCTGAAAAGAAGTTAGTCCCTCCCCCTCTTTTTTCTTTTTTTTTTTTCTTTCCCTGAATGCTGAGGTTTTTCTGGGAGCTTCAGCCTGATGTTCTCCGGACCTTAAAGCCAGGAGAAGTCTCTGTATTGACTGCAGAGAGCACGCTCGCTAATGCCTACTTACCGATCATTTACATGTATTTCAGTTGAACCTTTCTGCAGGTTAAACCCAGCTTAGCGAGCCATTCAGTCGTCCCCTCCGGAGACCCTTTGCTGTTGGAGCCATTAGCTCGTAGTGCGGCTGAATCGATGGCCATGGGTTTGTTAGGAGGCCCTAATTGTCCTGCTAAGATGCTCATTGAAAATGCAGCAAGTGTCCTCTCTTGTTAGAGCTGTCCAGAGTGAAGCTGGGGCGAAAATGGGTATTTATAAAGTGGGACACGTGTGCCAGGCCAGGGGGATTTGTATTGAGGCGGGGAGGAGAAGCTGAGCCTTGCTGTCAGAAATTGTGTGTTGGGTTCAACTCCTTTAAAAAGCTGAAACCCAAGGACCCGCGGAGATTTGGGGCTCCAGACGCAGATCTGTTTGGCTGTACTGGGTGCCAGGAGTGCTGGCCGGGGCGGCAGTGGAGCTGGTTCCTGCGGCGCAGTCCTTGAGCAGAGCGGTTAATCCTAAAGCCACTCGCCGAGCTGATCACCTTGTCCTCTGTGCCATAATTAGCAGGCTGCGAGGGTGATTGCGGGCACTGGTAGGAACCACTTGGCTTGCTTCTGCGCCTCTCCTTTGGTTTAAGGGGAGGCTGTGGACACGCCCGGGTAAGTGGAAGCCTTTCTGCTGCCTTTCCCGTCTGCCAGGGATGGGGGGTCAAACATAGATCCCTTAATGCAGCTGCTTGAGTGAGGGGGTTACGGCCCTTCGGTTGGGTGCTGGTGTCTTTGTCTCAGCCTACATGCGCTAAATACATACAAGGGATCAACCCTGTTATTTTTGTGCTTTTATATTATATCAGCATTATATTATGCTGATCCATAATCTAGAGGTGTAGTCGCTTGCGTAACTTGGTGAAGGGATGAGGTACGATTACCTGGAGCGCGGGTGCCTGACGTACTGCAGCCGCAGCCTGCAGGAAGGGGAATAATGTCAGCGATGGGCTGGGTAAACGGGGTGAGTGCAAGAAAAAACAAAGAGTACCCATGTGGGAAGGGTGGTACGGGGTTTACAGGGAGAAAGTGGGATTTGTACCTGTGTGCAGCTGTGGCCATGAGTTTGTGGTCAGCCTTGAGGAGGTGAAAGCACGTAGGAAGGCGCCGGTTCTGCCTGCGGCGCTGCTGGCAGAGGGAAGGGAAGCAAACCTCAAAACCGTGCAGGCCGGCTCAGTGCTCTTTCACTGAGAGGTCTCGCGATCCTGGGTCCCCTCCCTGGGACCGACCTGTCCCTCTCCGTCAGAGAAGCATTTCTGGTGTTCCTCAGAGCCTGCAAAGGGATGGGAGCAGAAAGGTGTGGTCGCTGGGGGGGCGAAAAATGGGTGTGAAAAGAGAAATAAGGTGCTGGAAAGCGGAATGTCTCCAGACCAGGTTGAAGGGGAGCAGTTTCTGTGACGCCGGAGCTGGGTGCGGGAAGGCGTGGGGGGAGATCAGAGCCCTTGTCTGTCTGGCAGCACACTCTGCCCTGTCCCGGCGGCGAGGTGGGTGTGCCCGGCGCTCACCGCGCTCTCCCCCGGCTCTCCCCCAGGCCCTGCCCGGCAGCGCCAGC